ACACACATACACACAAACACACACACACACATACACAAACACACACAATCCCACGACCAGAGAGACTCAACGTACAAAGACGAAGAAAGAGGAGGGGGGATGAGTTCTGTCAATAACACGCCTTAAACTTTTATGAATACAATGAACGCATACGCCCCCTATCACAAGCCCTGTTAGTGGGAGCGAATACAACACATGACTCGAATAGCTGCGGTGTGTCTTGACCGTCACTGTGGAGTGATAACTAAGCAAATAAATTAACATTTAACACCTGAATCTCAAGAGGCATCCCTCTTTTGTCTTAAATTTATTTATATTGAAAGACAGACATGGGTCATGGGTCCTTAGAATGACGACTTCACCTGATTAAAAAAGGCTCCTTTCACAAATACTGTTTCACTGACCAAATTGTAATGAAACACATTCTAATACCTCACTCATGTCTGCAAGTTTTTCTTTCTCTCATATTGAAAATTAAAACTGAAAATAGTAATAGACCGCCAGTCATTTCTTTACATTTGCACTTCTAACATCTTTTCCCATTTCTAATGTACAAAGACCTAGTTAACATAAAAAATACTTTTGATATTTTTGACAATGATGACACCATCAGACTTCTGCAGACTAATCTTTAGCAGTAGAATAAATTTATGGCGAATAATGAAGGAAATCCCCAAACCACCTGACCACATATACAATGGTGATTGAGAAAAAAAAAAAATATGCTAATTTTGAGAAAATGAAATCAACTAGTCAAACCAGAGATAGACAATAATTCACAATTATCAAAATACAATTCGCTACAGATATTGTGGAAATAGGCATTACCATTGTAGGTTTTACTGCTGAGTGGAAAATATCACAAAATTGTAGTTGTATCAGTGCTCAAAAATCTTTCAAAAGTATCTTTCTTTCTTCAGTTTTGAAGAAAAAGTTTTATTAAGTCACTGACTGCCTTTTAAAGGATCAACTGTATTTTCCTATTAGTATTTCTGAACAGAATGATAACTTTTCTCATTCCAATATTTTCTGAGCTGCCACTCCATTTGAGCCTGAATATCCACACACTGTCTTGAAAGCTTCAGTACTCCAGTACTCTGAGGTATAGAATAAATTATAAC